TACAGAACATTATACCCCAAAACCAATGAATATACATTCTTCTCATCAGCACATGGGACATTTTCCAAGATTGATCATATCTTAGGCCACAAAACAAGTCTTGGCAAATTAAAAAAAATTTGAAATCATACCATGTATCTTCTCAGACCACAGTGGAATAAAACTAGAAATCAATTCCATGAGAAACACTCAAATCTACATGAAGTCATGGAAATTAAACAATCTGCTGCTGAATGATCCTTGGGCCAATGATGAAATTAAGATGGAAATCAAAATATTCCTTGAACTGAATGACAAAGGGGACACAAGCTTTCAAAAATATTGGGATGCAGCCAAAGCAGTCCTAAGGTGAAAGTTCATAACCTTAAATGCCTATATCAGAAAGACAGAAAGATCACAAATTATCAACCTAATGTCACATCTCAAGGAACTAGAAAAAGGAGAACAAACCAAACCCAAAGTTAGCAGAATAAAAGAAATGACAAAGCTCAGAGCAGAACTAGACAAAATGGAAACCATAAAAACGAGATAAAGGATCAATGAAACAAAACGTGGTTCTTTGAAAAGATAAAATCAATAGACCACTAGCCAGATTAACCAGAAATAGAAGAAAATGGACTCAGTTAAGCTCAATCAGAAATGAAAAAGGAGACATTACAACTCTTACTGCAGAAGTGCATCATCCATGAATACTACAAACACCTCTATATGAACAAACTAGAAAACCTCAAGGAAATGGATAAATTCCTGGAAACATACAACCTCCTAAACCTGAAACAGGAATAAATAGAAATCCTGAGCAGACCAGTAACAAGTGGTAACATTGAAGCAGTAATAAAAAATCTCCCAACAAGAAAAAAAAGCCCCAGACCAGATGGATTCACAGCCAAGTTCTACCAGACCTACAAAGAAGAACTGGTACCTATCCTACAGAAGCTATTCCATGACATCAAGAAGGAGGGAATCCTCCCTAACTCATTCTATGAAGCCAGTATCACCTTGATACCATAGCCAGGAAAGGACACAACACGAAGTGAAAACTATAGACAAATATCCCTTATGAACATAGATGCCTAAATCTTCAACAAAATACTAGCAAACCGAATTCAACAGCACATCAAAAAGATAATCCACCATGATCAAGTAGGTTTCATCACAGGGATGCAAGGATAGTTCAACATATGCAAATCAATAAATGTGATTCACCCCGTAAATAGAAACAATGACCATATGATCATCTTAATAGATGCAGAAAAATATTCAATAAATCTAACACCTTTTCATGACAAAAATCCTCAACAGACTGGGCATAGAAGAACATACCTCAAAATTATAAAAGCCATATATGACAAACTCACAGCCAACATCATACTGAATGAGAAAAAGTTGAAAGCATTCCCCTTAAGAACTGGAACAAGACAAGGATGCCTACTGTTACCACTTATATTCAACATAGCATTGAAAATCCTAGCCAGAGCAATCAGGCAAGAGAAAAAAATAAAGGGCATCCAAATAGGGAAAGAAGATGTCAAACTATCCCTGTTTACTGATGGTATGATCTTATATCTAGAAAACTTTAAAGGCTCCACCAAAAGACTCCTGGAATTGATACATAAATTCAGCAAAGCCAGGTTACAAAATCAGTGCACACAAATCAGTAACATTTCTATATAATAACAGTCAAGCTGAGAGTCAAATCAAAGACTCAATACCATTCACCATAGCTACAAAGAAAATAAAATACCCAGGAATGTACTTAACCAAGGAGGTGAAAGATCTCTACAAGGAGAACTACAATACATTGATGAAAGAAATTGCAGATGACACAAACAAATGGAAAAACATCCCCTGCTCATGGATTAGAAGAATCAACATTGTTAAATTTTCCTACTGCCCAAAGTGATTTACAGATTCAACACAATCTCCATCAAAATACCAACATCATATTTCACAGATCTAGAAAAAATAATCCTAAACTTCATTTGGACCTAAAAAAGAGCCTGAATAGCCAAAGCAATTTTAAGCAAAAAGAACAAACCTGGAGGCATCACATTACCTGACTTCAAATTATATTGCAAGGCCATAGTAACCAAAACAGCATGGTACTGGTATAAAAGGAGAGACATAGACCAATGGAACAGGATAGAGAACCCAGAAATAAAGCCATCTACCTACAGCCAACTGATCTTCCACAAAGCAGACAACAACATACACTGAGGGAAAGAAAACCCTATTCAATAAATGGTGCTAGGAAAATTGGATAGCCACATGCAGAAGAATGAAACAGGACCCCTATCTCTCACTATATACTAAAATAAATTCAAGGTGGATTAAAGACTTAAATGCAAGGTATGAAATCATAACAATTCTAGATTAAAACATAGGAAAAATTCTTCTAGACATTGGCCTACACAAAGTATTTATGTCTAAGACACTAACGGCAAATACAGCAACAACAAAAATAAATAAATGAGACTTAATTATATTAAAAAGCTTCTGCCCAGCAAAGGAAATAATCAACAGAGTGAATAGATAACTTACAGAATGGGAGAAAATATTTGCAAACTATACATCTGACAAAGGACTAATATCCAGAATGTACAAAGAACTCAAACAAATCCGCAAGAAAAACACAAACAACCTCATCAAAAAGTGGGCAAAAGGCTGGGCGCGGTGGCTCATGCCTGTAATCCTAGCTCTCTGGGAGGCCGAGGCGGGCGGATTGTTTGAGCTCAGGAGTTCGA